GCCATTATGCTAACTGCTGGTTCCCGGAATCCTAATTCTTGATCACTGTGAAGGTGACCTGATTTGGAAATAGGGTCTTGGAAGCTATAACTGAGATGAAGTCATACTGGACTAGGGAGAGCCCTAAATCTGATGACTAGTGACCTAAGAAGAGACACGCAGGGAGGAAAGTGATACGAACCAGAGGCAGAGACTGGAGTGATGGGCCTGTGAGCCAAGGAACTCCAAGGCAAGGCCTACCAGAATCCCCAGATGCCCAGAAAAGGACAGGAGGTGGTTTCCTATCCAGGGCCTACAGAGGCCAGCCCTGCCGACACTCTGATGTCAGACTTCTGGCCTCCAAATCTGTCAAAGTATAAATTGTCGGTGTTTTAAACCCACAAGTTTGTGATAATTTGTACTGGTGGCTTTAGGAAACTCAGAGATGTAAAATACTTAGAAGCTGGGGAGAGAAAATGTATGGAATTGAAATAATCTAAAATCACTCTTCAAACAAATGAGAAACATAAAACACATTCAAGAAATAACTATCAGGCTTTACTTAAATTCGATTACCTCTTGTTAATGAGAGGGGAAGAAAGATGGTAGGAAAAAGAAAAGGCATGGAGAAGCAAGAGTAGCAAATAAGAAATACAGAGACAGACAGGAGAAGTGAGAGACGAGATGAATAATAAAGCAATAATAGAAGCTAACTTCAAATGAATGCTTCTTAGCTGCCAGAGACGCCTAGGCCTAGTAAGTGATGTACAAATACTCTCTTTTGTTTTGTAATTTGCTATTGGGTGTCTGTACTCACTGGAGGGACAAACAGACAGAGGGAAAGTGAGAAAGAAAGTAGCCTCCAGGGGAGATGGCCAGACCACAATCGCTTCTCCTCCCTTCTTCTCTTGGGCTGCTGGGCACACATTCACAGGCATCAGATGTGTTTTAGAAGCTGCCAGGTTTGAGACTCAGACCAAGCAGTTGGCCATGTGGGATCCAGCTGCCTTAAGCACTACACCATGGGCTGGCCTGATTTACATGTACTAAACCTCATAGCACTATCATTTTATAGTTGAGGAAATAGAGGCCGAGAGCTCTAAGTTCTTCGCCAAAGATCCGTGCCGTAGCCAGGAGCACTAAGCAGCTATAGCTTTCATCCCTGTGGATAGGGTGGGAGGGAAGGGCAGTAATCCAGGCTGTTGGACTATGGAGTTCTCTGACCTGAAGATTTTCTGAGCTCAACCACAGGTGTGATTTGGGTAAACCTTTTAAATGGGTCACTCCATCTACAGGCAAGTGGCTCTTTAAATTTGCCAAGATAAAATGGATTAAATAGTCAACTGGTTTTTCTCTTAATAAACAGTTTTCATTATAGAGAGGACTCTGTTAAAGTCATCATTTATTCAACAAATACCTTTTAGTGCCAAGTAGGTACAAATAACCTAGACAATTCAGGCTTTATATGAACAAAAACCACATTAGCATTCAGTAAAAACTGAAGGATTAGGGACATAGAAACATGGAAAATGGTTATAGATACCAGATACAGTATGGGAAGAGGGTGAGAGAAGGGGTGTGTGAGGAAAGACATTAAGGAGCAAAAATAGAGAGGCAAGACATTGATGGGACACAGGAATGGATTATTATCTGTTGATGAGAGTCTAATACCCCCAACTGGACTGGTGTGAAAAGAATTTAGGTTGGAAAACTCACTTTACAAGCTAAGTGATGCATAGTGTTGGAATGTATAAAAGAAACGAAAATAAAATAGATTGGAAAAAAAAGAAAACAACATAATTATTGCATGAAAGGAGGCCCAACTGTCATTTGGTTCCTGAAGCTTTTGTTCACAGAGTTGAATTTTGTCTTTTCCAAAACAGGCTGTGCTTGCAAAGCCAGAGGGGCAGGTCAGACTCAGGGGCAGTGTGAACCTTCTTGAGAGAATTCCTGGAGCCTGAGGTCCGTCTTGGACAGTGCTGAGAGTTGGTATTCATTTCTCTTGACAAAGGTCCTGGGCAGGATTAGGGAGAGGGCTTTTTATGGGAACTTGCGGGTAGTCCTGACTGGGGTAAAAAATCCTGGTAGAGAATGAGGATCAAACCCTACTGGAGGCTCAACTCTTGGGTAGGAGGCCTCTAAGCTAGAGTGCAGCGAGTCTAGCAAGGCCTCCATGCCGATAAACCTAACACTGCGATCGCTCATTCTCGGTACTGAACACTTAGTCTGTGTCATGAGCATAACATCTTCAAGTAATAACCCAAATCGGGAATCAAGAAGATGTCTGAGAACAAGATTATGATGATAAATAATTTTAAAAAATGCTCAAAGTAATAAATGAATACAGTAAAGAGTCAAGATACAAAATACATACATATAAAAAAAGAAGATGCCCGAGTGCAACCTATTGGGGAACAGAGGGAGTATACAGCTCTGCGATGCTGGAAGCCATGGGGAAAATTGGGGTTCGGTTCTTTGGTTGACCTGGGGGTGCATTCACCTGAGATCTTGGCTAGCTGGGAGGGTCAGGGACAGGATGGCGGTGTGAGATCTTGTTGAGAGTACCTGTCTTTCTCTCTTTTGTGAAACAAATGCACTTAAAAAAGGCATAAAGCCTTCTAATAAAGACTATTAGAAGTCAACAACAACAACAACAAAAAACTAATGTAAAATGAAGGCCTAGAATAAAATCTGAGCAGATGGCGGGGGCCTTTCATAAGAGTGTTCTCTCCTTGCTTGTTCAGTGGCTTCTTACTTAAATCCCTGCTGTCTTTATAGCACAGACTGCTTTCAAAATAAAAATCCTGAGAGGAGAATGGAAGAGAAGGGATTGCCATCTGGCCATGCCCCCGGGGGGTGACTTCTCACCTTCCCTTTCTCTGTCTCTGTCTCTCCCCAGTGAGCACATGCACCCTATGGCAAAACCCTTTAAAAAAAAAAAAGAATATTCTTCCAAAGACCAGGCAAAGCTCCTGCTTATAGTTAGCTGGGGATAAGGAGAGAGCTGTTTTGAGGGTGGGAGGGGTAAGGAATGACAGAGCTTCTTCCAGCTCCAGCCACTCATACTTAAGGACAGTGGCACGGACAGTACCATTGAGAGCCAGTCAACCATCCAAGCTACTCTAGGTTCCCCTTTGCCTCAAAGACAGCTCTTTAAAATCCAGAAGAGTAACACTCCTGTCTGGCTTATGATCTCTTGAACAACTTGTCTATTCTCTGCCCGTTCTTGAAAGCTGTAAGTTACAAGAGAGCACCCTGAATAGAATACTGAGTTTTTAAGCAAACATTTAAAAAGCTGCTAGTTTTTTTTTTTTTTTCATTCTTTCTTTTTCTTTTTGGTCTTTTTCCTGGTAATAAATATTAAATATATAGTGTTTATAGTGGCACTATATAAAACATAAGATCTAAATGTCATTCGCTTTTAAATGTCTAAGATTAATTTCCTATTCACTGATTTAAGATTTAAAAAAACTGAAATCTGTTTTGAAAGCATCAATCACTAATACTTTCTTGTGTTTTTAATGCAGGTTCAGACAGTGTCTAGACACATATGCATGCTTAGTGTGGTACGATGTAATCCCAATGATATGTTAAAGCCAGAAGAACTGGCATTTTTAAGAGCAAGGAAGAGAATTTACAAATCCAAGAAGATCTATACTGATTCATGACAGCCCAACCACAGACTACCAAAACTCAGGATTTTCTACCAAAAGTTAGAAAAACAACTTTTTCAGACAAAGAAATTGACGAGGGTACAAATAGAAAAAAAGGAAAGAGGAAAAAAAGTGTAAACACTTTTCTATGCTCCAAATAACACCTGTTCCATTAGACACACGAAATTGCAAGCACCTGGGCGTGGACGAGGACCTCTGTTCCTAACACTAACTTCATCCTAATGCTGACTACATAGAGCTGAGTAATTCCATTCCTTAGCTCAATTATAGATACAAAGGCCTGAGCCACTGGCTTTCTAAAAACAGAGGCAGCGAAACAAATCGAACTAACCCGAATATGTATTGTCGCCTCTGCCTAAAGGGTTACCTAACTCCGTCACTTGGACCTATTGGCCCTAAAAGAAACAGAATTAAAAGCAGTAACAACAACAAAATGACAATTTGCCTTTTGCTTCTTTTGCCTAATTTTTACTTTTTGGATTCTTCATCTCTGTTCTCTCCAACTTCCAAATTGCTAGCCCATTCGCTGGGGTAAAACTTCTAACCCTATCCTCTCTCTCCTCCACTCAACAGCATCTCAAGCTAGGCAAACTGGCATCAGAATCTCTCCCCGCCTTTCTTGGAAAACACAAGGGCAAAGGAAACAGGCCATACTTTTCTGATGGCAGGCCATTGCTACAAGCGCTAGCCTGTAAAGTAGATAGTGTATAAACGCACATGGGACAACTCCATATAAACTCCCGCCAGGTTTCCAGATCTTCCTATTTGGTCTGGGGAGCAGTATCCAGCTTGGCAAAGCTACAAGGGTGCCCCCCTCCCCATCCCCCTGCACCCGGAGCATAAACAAAAACTACTGGATGGTATCTCCTGTCATCGCTTGCTGTCACAGCTGTCTACACATAAAGGAGTGGGGTTAGCATCGCTGGAAACAAAAGACAAAACAAAATGTGAAACGGGCCACTGTTTGCGCTTGCTGGAGATAGCAATAATCTCTATTGCTACGCTGAGTGGAAAAATACCACTCCGCTTTCACCAGAACGTCTGTAAGTGAGACAAATTGGGCATGGTCTATTTCTCTTTCAGTGGACATGGGAAGAAGAAGAGGAAATGGGCCTGATTCTCCAGAACTGTCAACATACAGATAGGTGTCTCTCGGCATAAGCAGCAAGCACACGGCTTCCTGAGGTCTCCAGTTGGACTTGATATGAAGCAAGGGCGTTAAGCATGCAGATAAGTGTGGAAAGCAGAGGAACTGGCTGCCTCCCGGCTTTACAGATGGAAACCATACATGGCTGGTTCCTCCGCACCTGCCCTTTTATAACGGAAGACAGACAGAAGCTCCCTTACCTTGAAGTTGTGTGTCTTCTCATAGTTGAAGTGGTTGTCATTGTGGGTGAGTGCAGCCCTTCGAACCAAGGAGGAGATCTGCGAACAGGCAAAGAGTTTGAGAGGAGGCCAGAGAAAGCTGCCTTTCACGCCCACCTTCACGCCCAAGGCCACGGCCAGCAGCTCTTGGCGTTTCCTGCCTTGCTTAGACTTCCGGACCACAGCACACTTTTTCTCATTTTCCAGCCTCAGTTCCTCGGAGAACATAGTGCCTGGCATCCAGACCTTTCAAGTTCCCCCTGCAGAGTCCGTGAGGCTCCGAGCTGTCAGGTCTTTCCAACTGTGGCTAATGTTAGGCAGCAGATTTGAGGCAGCTGCGTTCTGTCTGCAGAGGCCTCCGGCATGTGACCTGGAAGGGCCGGTTTGAGTGATGGAGGGGGCTCTGCTTCAGAATAAGGACGGGCCTGTTTTGTGCTATTTCTTAAGGCCGACGTGTGCCTGGAACAATAGCACACATTCATGTGCACTGCAACCCCCAGAAGCAGTATCCCGTCAGCCACTGAGATTCAGCGAGAAAGGGGCAGGCAGCTTTATTTCTCCTGCCACAGCACACTGCGAAGGAGAGCCTCCTTGCTAGCACGTTGCACGCACGCGCACACACACACACACGCACACACACACACACACACACACACACCACAGCTA